TTACCTTAGATTGAGCTGTTTTTATCTACATTCGCTCTGCTGAATCACTGTGTTTCTACAGAAGCCAAGAACGGACAAACCAAACACTGGCTGTAGATAGTACATATTTTTTTTCAGTTTCTCCTACACACTTCACAGCCCCATTCTCATTCCCAGGTGTCTAATACAGACACCAGCAATATAAAACTTCCCCACTAGATGCCACTAATGAGTTTGCTTGTGGTTAACAGATTGAAGAAACAGGAAGGACAGTAGAGGAGAAGAGGTGGAGGGACAACAGAAACAAGGGTTGTTCTGCAAGAGTAGCCTCTAAATGTTTGTGTTTCGTGCACCATAGAGCTGAACAACATGAACCATCACCCGCCCCCATCAGAAGTCTGAAAAACACCAAAACTAGCAAAGTAACACAACAATCCATAAGGAAACACCTAAAATATTTCTAGAACACTATCACTAGTCCCCAGAGTTAAAGTATCCATTAATGGTCCAATATAAAGGCTCACTTTACCAACCAAAATAGGTTGATCTGGTTTTCCTGCTAACTGGCAGATCTGACAGGTCTTAATATATGTGGAATGTATGTATGTATTTTAAAATGCATAAATACAGTTTTAAATATAGCCCATCTATACTTAACAGGCGTAACCACCTGCTTTCACAAACCCACAAGCCAACCCCACCTTCCTCATTAACAAACCATCCTGTAGAAAGAAATACTGGAGAGCCTTACCACCACACAGTCAAATAGTTCCATTAAAAAGCTTTGTATGGGACACAGACAAGAGGTGAGCAGGTAAAGGGCAAAACAAAATTGATGTCGACTCGGATTTCATGTCACTAATAGATGTGTGTTACTGCGCAAGCTGTAGATAATGTCTGATCTAGTGTGTCATGTATGTAGTATGTCTCTCCCTACGGACATTTCTGGTCACACCTCAACCTCCATGTTTAACTGTACTAAGTTGGAAGACAAAAACACCTCGTGCATGGGACAAAAAGTTGTTGTAGGAAGTAAAGAGGGCTGACACAATAGGTGTTAACAACGTATTAGAAAACATCTGAATATGAGCATCAGACATCAGTACACACTTATACCTTCAATCCTTTGCATTTGGGGCTTGTTTGTGTAACTACAAATTACTGAAAACAAAGAGACGGATGGAGTTTTCATTAGTTTATTAACATTCATGTCAGATTTTTTAATGTGGGCTATACATTTCACAGGCTTTAAAAACCATGATACCAGACACTCCGATCATTTTAGTGGTCAATCGATAATTTAACAGATCATTTTTCAAATAAAATGATGACCTTTCTTTATTTTTATGCACATAGAAACACCGAGAAACATTACAGGATTCAATCAGGGGCCTTGGCTCAAGCTGAATACAGGAAATGTCATGTACTTATTTCCGTTAGTTGTCACCACGAGGGCCTCCCCGTTCTTTGTCTCATCATTCACCAGCTCGAGGAGGCACTCAGCTACCTGAGACACACTGAAACAAAAGATACAGTGGTTCAGCAGAATAAGCATGTAGATATTATCAATCACAGTCGTTGTAATGAACTTCAACATGTGCAACAAAATGTAACTGAGGGGTTCGACTGTGTGTTCTTTTTATTTGCTGTAAGCAGAGTCGATATTGAGCATATGTGAAGAAACAAAGTAGACACAGTAGTGTCCAATGCTGGGAAGAAGTGTGACCCCTCACGTCCAAAAACTTTTGCTGGGCTCTGCAATTCTCCTATTGGTAGATTTTGCTGCACATTGTAACACTGTGTTGAGCCAGAATCAAAGATGGGGTTTGAGTTCATGAACATTTTTAAGATTATAAAAGATTAAAAAAGTTGGAAAATTGTCCCAGTCTGTCTAAAATGTTAGGATAATTTGAGTAATGTAATCATGTTTGTACTTATTAATATTGTACATAATGGAACTAAGTCAAACCTGCTCTAAAACAAACAGAACTAGAGCACAGGACTAAATGTAGATTTTTTTTAACTCACGTTAACGTCCCCATGACTTCTGCCATTTGCTGGGTTGCATCAGCCAGGTGGGAGTAATGTCCAAGGTTGGATGGGATGGTGGAGAAGAGGTCAGTTTGGACAAAACTTGGGCAAAGGGCGTTGAACCGTATACCATAGCCTGAAGCCGTAGAGGCAGCCTGGTAAAACACACACACAATTAGGCTTTAACTACTCAGAAACACAAAGTTTAACACAGACAATAAAAGTAAAATAAAGTCAAACTGTTCAATAAATGTCATCGTCCTTACCGCCATGGCTCGAGTGAAGCCGACCACTCCATGTTTGGTGGCTGTATAGACAGGACAGCTCATTAGAGGACCGAGACCTGTGGGATGTGGGTTACATTGGTCAGTTTTCAAAACCTTAACTAACACAGATTAACAAGATTTTTCTTGATTTCATTGAGCAATATTCCTCTAAATATAAGACCTTTTTCATTTATTTATTTTTAATCCACTTTTAGGCCACATTTTTACCAAACACTTTTTAGATCTTGTTGAATATTTTAACCAGATGAGGGATTTTAGTCATCAGACGTCTGGCTCTTAAGTTATCAGAAAAACAAGCATGTTGGCAGCAGCTCGGCTCGCAGCC